AGAGAGAGAGAGTGAGAGAGAGAGAGAAAGAGAGAGAGAATGAGGGAGAGACATAGTCAGAGAGGGAGGGAGAGGAAGAGAGGGGGGGCACAAAGACAGAGGGAACAGATAGACAGACAAGACAGAGAAACGTAAGGAGTGAACCAACTTGATTACTGAATACAAAGAGAGAGAGAGAGAGGGAGAGAGTGAGAGAGATAGAGAGAGAGAGAGAGATAGAGAGAGAGACAGAGAGAGAGACAGAGAGAGAGAGAGAAGTGAAGAGAATAAAGACAGACAGACAGACACACAGACAGAGAGACAGACAGGTAGGCAGATAGGCAGACAGGCAGACAGACATACAGACAGACAAGATTAGACGAGAGATCTCGAGACACACGCAGAAAAAAAGCCAATTCGGTTACTTAAAAGATCGACCCTCTTCCTCGATCGTGGTAGGAAAATCACTTCAATAAGGGCAACAGACTGCCAATCTGTTTCCCAGGTGTTTAGCACTGTCGAACCTGCTCTAATGGCCACCTTTATAAGACGCTCACCTGTACAAACGGTCGCTTCTCGTTTCCTCCCTTGCGTATAAAAAAACAACAACATGATGACACTGTGTAATGACTTGTTTAAGGCAGCCACTTTTCTTCTTGACTATGGGTGGTCGTCTTACATCTTTTCGCTTCTTTTACTTATCTCAGTATGCGTGACTTTTGTCTAGTAACGATCAATCCAATGTTGACACTCTTTCACAAGGACTGTTTGTTAACCCAAATTCAAAGTCTCTTTTTATTCCAATTTAATGCCAAGTTGTTAAGGAATGCAATGTAGTTTGACCCTATTTCACTATCAAATATCTTTGGTCCTCATCTCTCGACCTCCTGTCCATTTTATGTTATTCTCTAAAACTCGCCACTGATATGACCTATGATATGTTGCAAGTGATGTAAACTCTTAACAAAACTAAGTCTCATGAGGACTGGTCGTTCACAGATCTGAAGCAGAGCTGCTTTGTATCTCAGTACTAATGTCAGACTGTCAACGACTGCAAAACTCGCGAAATTGAAACGTCCTATTTTTTTGGAAATTTTTATTGAGGAAATTTGACGGATTTGAGTTACTCATTTTTAAAATTTGTATAATTTTTTTTTTTCGGTAAAGGAAGGCCCGCGGGGACTCCATAACATAGTATTTGAATGAAATGACAGGACGGTCTTGTATCAGTATGATGGCCATTACAAGTTACCCACACTCGGCAGTTAATGATGCATCTGTCCAGCAGTTTTTTAAATATATTTTTAAGGGGCAGGGAAGGGGGTGTGTATCTTTATCGAAAGGCTTCCAAGGTGACTTGCATTTTATACATTTCTAATCCGTCTAATTGTGTCCACTATTTCCCAGTGTCAAGCACAGTTGAACCTGCTCTGTACAAAAGGCGCTTCCCGTTTCCTCCCTTGCGTATTAAAAAAAAACCCCGTAATGACACTGTTTAATGACATGTTTAATGCAGCCACTTTTCTCCCTGACTATGGGTGGTCGTCTTAAATCTTTTCGACTGTTTTACTTATCTCAGTATGTGTGTTTGTGACATTCGTCTAT